CGAAAACAAACGTATGTTCGCCATTTAATCTTCTGAAATTTTCAATGGGAATGTTCGCACATTTAAGATAGACTACACTAAATAGTAAATGACAACGAAATAGATAGCTAGTTATTTAAAGAAAGATGCGGTGCTACTTTGTCAAGTAAATGTTTTACAGGCTGATGAAAATAAGTTCTTTGAAAGCCGACATCCCGATGTGACTAAAAATATATTGGGGTCGTGCTGCACGATAATGAATTGTAGAGCGCTACTGAGGAAATATTTTCTAACCGAAGATGCCGGTGAATTCAGTCACCAAGCGTATTCAGGCGATTAAGGTTCGATTAGCTGTATTTTTGTGGATTGGCTTAAATTGCCTGATTCGTGTCTACATCTACTAAGGAATCCAAAGAAGCAAAACGTTGTCGGCTTCTCCCTCACCTCTTCCGCAGTCATCTGAGCAATTCTGTCGTGACACTTGGCCCGCTCCGCAGTCCCATTCCCTTCCATGGAATGGCAGAAGCCCTGCTTGGAGAGGTTCCTAGCCAGATAGAAGGGTACAAAGGCGTCCTCGGAGAAACATTTGCACTTTCTGGACATCACCTCTTGCCGCAGTGTGGCCACACAGTTGCCCCGGGTGTAGGCAATCGTAAAAAACTTGTTCTTTGCTCCACCACCGGTGTAAAAGCTCCCTAGATCGAGATACTTTAGCGGTTCAATCTTCTTCTCGCAGGGTCTGTAGAATGTGGAAAGCCTTTGATGCACCTATAAAAGAAGAGCAAATAGGTGGAACTAGCACAACGCAAGGTCTGAGGTCTATCAGTAAAGGCGATTGGAGTTGGGAGAGGGGGGGGTTATACCCTTATTGTTCTGGCCCATTGGAGCAACACAATTGTGTATTTTTCAGCTGTTTGTAAACATTGTTGCGCACATCGCTGGTCACAGCTACGGTTCCGAAATAATCCTCGGGCCACCCCACCACTATTCCTGTAAGTGGCTTAACTACTAATAGTAAAACTGATTGCATTGATGCTGCTGTCACTGTTACTGATGCTAATAATAATACTAGTATCAATACGGTTTTTGCTGATGCTACTACTACTACTATTACTACCACGAATACTACTATTGATGTCCATACTACTACTTCTGCTTCTTCTTATGCTATTGCTACTGTTGCTGCTGCTTTTAGTACTACTAATCCCGCCAACACTACCACCACTAATATAAATATTATTACTACTGCTACTATTACTGTTGCTACTACTACTATTACCACCACAACTACTACGACTGATACTAATAGCACAATTATTACTAATGCTATCACTACAACTGGTTCCTAAACACTCACTGGCTTTTTACGTGACTTGTAGCAGTCCATCTCAGCCCCACTGTGCTGACAACTTTTCTACGCTGCCAAGCTGTAGGCCCCACGTGATTGTCCACCGCATGCTGGCTCATCGTGCCCTCGTTTGCAAAGCCTTGTGCATTCACGCTGTCCGTCTCAAGGTCGGGCCAATAACGCACTGCTTAGCATAAGCCCCGAGAGCTCGAGCCAACCAAAGTGCACCATTTCCTGATTGGTTACAAAACATGTGTCGGGACCCTGTACGTTATGCGCACGGGCAAACACACAGCAACTGGCCTGTTTAATGCAAGTGATTCTTTTCTGCTGAGCCCCCTGTAAGCTCCTTCTTACACTACACACTATCCAGCCTTCCCAGTCTTATCTGACTTCTGACATGAAGGGACCTTCTATTTTCGACAACCAGTATGCCGACAGACTCATTCGTCCCGTTCTGCTTTGGGGCCCATCGTCGAGGCTCGTCAGCAGCCGCATAGCAGCTAGTCTTCTAGGCAGGTCAACATTGGCGACAATTAGAAAGGGGACTGGAATGACCCTTTCTGGCCAATAGACGCAACTTTTGTGTAGTTTTTGCTATATTCCGTGTTATACTGGTTCTCTTATCGTATATGTGGGTGAGTGTGGTCGTATGCTGTGTCATTGTTAATTTCGTCTTATCAGTCTGGTTGACTTTTTCGGAGTTCTCAGAAGGTCCCAGAACTGCCTGTGTTCTCACCTTCGTCATAGAGATGCAGAGTACGCTGACGACTGTAGTGATTGCTCTGCTTAATGAGAGTCCTCTGTTCGGCTATTTTTTTTCGTTCCTTTTCTCCGGTGTCAATGCTCCGTTCTGTTTTATCTTCGGAAGGTACCGTAGTAGCACGTATCCTGGAGGTATGTCGATGCGCATATTATTACGAATAGTATCAATATACTGTCAAAAAACTGTTCGCAACGAACTCACCAATAACATTTTATTGACATTATCTAGGAATAAACTACCTTGCTCCTCGTCAAGAATCACTTGGTTTGGCTATCTTTCTATGTCTAATTCCTAAAATGTAGTCCTGCTATGGCTTTAGCAAGCGCTTACGTAATTTCGCCAAAGGCGAAAACCTTACCGTCAGTCAGCTTCCAAACTCAGACAGTTCATTAATACGTAAAAGAGGAATTAGGACTGTTAGGATGGCCCGGACGCGAGTTATCATTCGGGTACTCCCGAGAGTACCAGAACAAAGGGACCTGATTGACGGCCGGTTTATGCAGTTACAAGCGACCTTCATAGGTCGGACATTAGGCCAGGACAGAGGAGGCACGCGCGAGCGAGACTGCCCCGGGGCCGTGTTGCTGCTATCAGTGAGGTGATGCTGAGGACAGATGCACAGGCGCGTGTTAGCGAGCGCGCGCACGGCTACTCATTGAAGAGCCAACGAGGAGCAATGACTAG